GGCTGAATGGTCCAACGGCTTTTTTACCCCACTTTTGCTTGGTGCATTCCCTGCAATTGAGTTGCCGTTGCTGGTAGCCCTTGAGCCGTGGGCGAAGCAACAAAAGAAAAGAAGAAAAAGGATTTTGCCTCTCTGTGGCATTCTCTAGCGTATTTTGTCATGCCAACGGGCCGAGAGTCCGCCTGGGCACTTGGCGGTGCACCGTCGGTCTTTTTGTAGTGAATAGCCGGCCCTCGGGGAGGGCGCACCGGGGTGACCCCACTCGCAATAATGCGTCCGGGCCCCCATTGGCGGACGAAGGCTTCCACGAGCAACGGCGTGCCCGCGTTCAGGCCCAGGCGGTGCGGCATCGGCTGGGAGGGGTGCCAGCCGTTGCCTTGCCAGGGAGCTGCTCGGGCAGAACGTTTGAGCGGCACGTAGGCGCACTTGCGTGATGCATGTGGGGCGGGCAGTTTTATGCCCGCAGTGCGGCTTCGCGACGAGCGGTGGAAAAACACATCGCGGGCACTTGCCGGCGGAAGGCGCGATGGGCCGGCCTCCCGGCACTGGGTAGAGCCTGGGAGGCCTTGGGCGCACCGTTCACAAGGACCTCAACGCCGCCAGGAGCGCCCAGGCCGCCTTTGCGGGAGCGAGTGGGTCAGGGCACCCCCGGCCCTAGGTGCCGGAAGTTTGGAAAGTGTAGCAGAACGCGGCACCACTTGCGCCAGCGCAACTGCACGCTGCGACGGTCAACGTGCCAGGATGGTTTTGTAGAGACCGGGTTCCGCGCCGCGCGATGCGGTCGTCTGCAGTGCCCCCGCTGGCCCAGCACACATCCGCCCACCCGGCTGGTTGCGCGTGCGCCATCGAAAGGGGCGCCCTGGCCGTTCTTTGCCCGGCCCTCCGCCCCCACAGCGACTGCAGAGGTTTTCTACTTTTTGGTGTTGCTGGGGTCCGGGGTGCACTAAGTGCTCCTATTGTCTGCGGGCGCATCGCGTGCCGGGTGGGCTGTGCGTGATGTGGGGGCGGCGGGTGCCGCCCAAGCGGTTGCTCTGCTCTCGGGCCGCTTGTTTAGCAGCCGGCGTTTCGGGCACCCGGAGGCGCGGCCAGACCCGCGCCCCAGTGGCAGGGCGGCGTCGGGTAGAGGCAGGGCG